GTAGTAGTAGTAGTAACAGTTGTAGTTGCAGTAGCAGCAGTAATAATCGTAAGCCTAGTCATAAGAAGAGTAAGGACATTAATTGCTTTAGTCCGAGTGAAACTCCCAACGCCTCAAAGCGTTCTTTCCCGGTTTCTCCAAATTTGGGGATCACAGACACCTAAAGCCCAAAGACTTGACTCCTAAATTCCTAAATCCTACACCCTAAGCTTTCAACTGTAAATCCTTACGAATCCCAACCAGATCCCGACAAAAAGATCGCACAGAAACGACCAGAACCCTGATCCCCAAACCAGATCCCGAACCAGAACCAGCGAAGAGCAATAATGGTTCATGGAGTCCTTCTTGCAGCAAGCTATAGATAGAACCAGTAAGCCTGAACATAAACAACCAGAACCGCGCAAAAACCCCAAGGCTCAAAACATACGCAGAAAGACACGAAACGCTGATATATCCCTCGTAGGACCTGCATAAAGCCTTTGCAGAGCCCTCAAAGCACCCTTTCGGAAACCAAACAGATCCCATTTAGAACTCTCCTCAGCGTTTACAAGACATAGCCCAGGCATTGAGTGCAACAAAAAGGGGCTCCCGCGAGATTTGGGCTGGAGATCCTGTTTCCCGGCAGTATACATACATACTTACATATAGAAGGATAGAGAGATAGACAAGTAGATAGATAGATNNGATCGATAGATAGATAGATAGACAGGTAGATAGATAGATAGATAGATAGATAGATAGACAGAGGGACAGATAGATACATAGATAGATCGATAGGTAGTAGGTTCATAGGTAGGTAGACAGAAATGTGTGTGTGTGTGTATATTTGTGTGTATATTCAGTTATATAGTATATACAGAGGATTCCATAGATACATATTGCCTAGCTATGGCCTTAGAGTCTTTATGAAGTGGCACCGGTGGGTTTGGGTTCCACAGTATGTATACATATTCGCGTATATGCATGTATGTATATATACACATGTTTATATACATACATACATACATACATACATACATACATACATACATACATACATACACACATATTTCTTGTAGTATATTTATATGTACGTATTTACACAGATGCCTGATAGATAGACAGACAGATAGATAGATAGATGGGTAGATAGTTAGATAGATAGATAGATAGATAGATAGACAGATCGTCAAAACCCGAAATGAGATTAATACCAACAGCAACGACACCAACAACAAGGCATGCGCGCCTTTCGCCGCCGGGGAAGGTGTAGCGATCGCGTTGGGAAAGACATGGAACACAGATGAATGCGGAATTTGTGAAAACACTGGCAGGCGCAGTGAATTCGAGATGTTGCATGAAACGTGGGCACATTGGCATGCATAGAAAAGTGTGGAAGGCGTGGGTTCACAGGTATATTTGACAGATTTGCGTTTAAGTGCTACACTTGGTTGAAGACACAACATCCATATAGAAAAAGCAGGAATTCATCCGCCTGCGTGGAGTTTCGTGGCATTGGCCAAAGTGTGGATTTTGAGCAGAGCGTGTCTGGCAGACGACAGCGCGGTGCGAAAAGTAGGCGAAAAGTTGCTTTTAATTCTGATTTAAGGGGGTGACGTTCTTCCACTTCAGAGTCTGGCTTTCTTTCCGGTTAAAGGCAGGTTGAGAGTTGAGGTTGGGGGTTTATGGGTTTGGGGTTTACGGCTAAGGTTGAGGCTTGAGGATTTGGGTTTGAAGATGCCGGCTTTTTCCCATTTGCAACATGGCCCTTTCCCAACAGATGGTCAAGGTGAATGAGGCTGAACTGACTATTGCTTGCGTCTTGTTTGGGGACACTGATGCAGTTCAGACTGCAGACTTCAATCTCTCGAAAATCTCCCCGACTATATATATATATATGTATATATGGTACCCCCCCAGGACCTACCTCGAAACCTGTTTGTATGTCTTTCCATTCTGACGTCTTGGGCGAAGTCTCGCAGCCTTCGGCAGGGTGAAACGGGTCGGCTACTTGCCCACCTTTGGTGGGCCTTGGAGCTGGGCTCCATTTTAGGGTCCTTCAGCCCACTTCACC